CCCAACCCACACACACACACACACACGATCACACACTCCAATACTCACTCTTTTTTTTTGTGTATTTAGCCATTTAGAAACAGACTAGTTTTCCTTCTCTCGCACGTCATAAGGCGTTAGACTTCTTATCTTTATGGGAGGGTATGAATGTATGAATATATGTATGTAGAGGAATGCCCCAGCAGTGCATGTGCTAACATCTGCATGTCTCAGAAGATATTGATCTTTTCAAGGGTGATTGGTTCTGTCTGCAGTCAGCAGTCTGTCGATATAACAGTGAAAACACAATCTCATTTCAGAAACTTCACGAATTTTCACATTTTTATGTGGGAACTAGGGAACCACATGTGGAATATAGGAATAGGAATTTACTTGTGAAGGATGGTTTTCTTTCTAAGGGTATTGTTGAAAGGTCTAATTAAAGCCATCATAAGTGCAAAAAACATACATAAGATATACCTATCTAATGTATGTTTTGCATCTTAGGTACCTTTTTTACGCTAAGACACAGCTTTACTTTTTCAATAACCTGTGCAATAACCTGTTTCTCTATATTTAACACTCAGTTCAATAACTTAAAATATAAATATTCATCTATGTAAATACCCACTTAAACTCCCTGTGCAATAACCCTGTATAACAATTCCACTATAAAAAAGAAAAAAAAAGAAAAAAGGTGTCATATGTGCACACACTGTATACCAGTATATACCCCATGCACCTTTTTCTTCCTTTGGCACATTCTTCTTCCCCTTTGACTTTTTGAGCTGATGTAACAAGTAAATTTCTCCACTGTGAGATCAAGAAAGTCAATCAATCAATCAATCAATCAATCAATCAATCAATCAATCAATCAATCAATCAATCAATCAATCAATCAATCAATCAATCAATCAATCAATCAATCAATCAATCAATCAATCAATCAATCAATCAATCAATCAATCAATGCTGTAAATGTTGGATTCTCTGCATATAATGTTGGTGTTATTAATGCGTTCTGTTTCAGTAAGATTGATTTATACATGTAGGCCATATATGTTAGAATAAAAAAGAAAGGAGTAGGAACCCGTTGGTTAATCATTATCAGTGTCTTCTTAATTTTTTACATCAGCAGTATTGCAAAATATATATATATATATATCTTTGTTGTAATTCAAGTAATTAAATCTTTGAGTATGATCACATGAAACCTCATCCCTAAGGCTGTGATGTTCAGTAAAGAAAGAACATTCACACTATTAATTTAGGTGGAGAATGAGTGATGCTGTGTGTCGGTTTAACTCTGAAACACCTGGATACCTGAATAAAAAAACCTATTGTACTCATTCTGTAAATTAAAAAAGTTGTTTTCCACCTCTTCCATGAGGATCTCAGTCTTTAAGCCTCTAGGAGGAGATAGACATATTGAGGTTATTCTTTACACAAAGAATGCTCCCCATTAAACAAAATCATGCAAATTAAGCTCTATATTTTTTTATATAGATGGATTATACATTTTTTCTGTACCAGGACTGTCAACAAATTGCTCTTTGTCTATAATTATGGGGTAACTGGTTATCTTTGTATTATTTTTTTGCATTTTTAAATATTTGCAATATTTATTTAGCATCAAAGCTATGGTAATTACATTTCTGTTGATATAATAATCATAACATCATAATAATCATTCTGGTGCTTCAGAAAGCACAAACCAGTCAAAAAGGATTCTGTTCATCCGTCTGTAAGTCCCTGTTTAGTCATGCTCTTTAAACCTCTCTGCTGCACACATTAACATCCCAGAGGAGAGGCATCTTAATTAACTAATTCAGCGGCATAACACTGTAGCATAGCAGAGACATAATGATTGCAAAGCTTTGAACGCTTATCATGAACTTTATCGACGGTTCAGCAGGCTCTGGGTCATCAGTGAACTGCTTTTAAAGGAGATTAATCTATTTAAATGGCAATAAACTGGTAAAAAAGAAAAAAAAATAGTTTGACTTTGTTGTAGTTTTACCAGAAAAAGCAAAATATGTTTAGTTATACAAATAAGAAAATGCAACGAAACAGAAGTAGGAGAAAGCGGATAGAAAGTCGGACAAAGACCTCATAAATGAGTGATGATCTGACCGACAACATACAGCATAAGAACACATGGCAAAGTGTTAAGTGACTGGTTTCAGTGAGAACGGGTAATAATATTGTGTAAAAAAAAACAAAAAACATCATTATACACTGTATGTACATTTTTACTCTGTGATGACATCTACCCTTACTCTTTACATCCAAGCTTATGTTTAGCTGTAAAATCTTTAATGAAAACAGTTTTTTGCTGAGCAGGAGAGTAAAGGATGAACAGAGTTGGGCATGTTTTAATCTGCTAATTAACCCAAAGAATTATCAAAACGATACATAGAGGGTTGTTTTCTCTTACTTCATAAATCTTAAGTTTAAGCCTCCTAAAATGTTGTAGGTGGGGCGTTGTTACTCCTTGATCTGTTCCTAAAGCACTTCAGAGTTGGGTAGAGTAGCCAAAAACTGCTATTAAAACGATTCAACCAGATACACCAAACTCTGGTGTCTTAAAGATGCATTTAAAATAAGTCATAAAAATGCAGTAAAAGTAAAAAGTAGCGATATTCTCCCAAGAATATTACTTAAGTTAAACTGAAAAGTACAGCAAAATACACCTACTCCTAAAACTTTTTTTTTCCCTTTAAAACTTACTTAACTAAATGTAACTAAGTAAATGTAAGTAGTTACTACAAACCTTTTTTTTTGTTTCATATTTTGTACCAATGTTATGGTTTTTAATGCTGTATTTTATTGTACTTGTGTAAGTATTCTGCAGGATTAGTTGAAACAATACAATAAAGGAAGGATATAAACATTCTGGATGGTAATGAATATAAATTGCAGTAATTATATGGTCACAATTAAATGTCCAATAAAATTACCCGTATTAAAATACATTTCAAACAAGGAATAAAGTAATTAATTATTTCAAAAAGCTATTAATTTAAAATCAATTGCAATTACTTCACTTTATATTTATAAATCCAAATAGAATCAAGCAATTATTTGTATTTTTTTAAGGGTGGCAAGTCTGTTGCTATTTATCGTTTGCACTCCTTATTAACATTGTTGACCTTTACTCTCAACAGGGTTGCAAATCTGTGAAATTGGCTAATTTTTTTAATGCAAAAACATCCCAACCATAAAGGATTAAAAATGAACAAGAGTAAAATAGAAAAAAAAGTAAAAAAAAAAAAAAAACAAGAGTAGAAGAAAAGTTTGAGGTGATTAAAGGGTGGCTTTTTTTTTTTTTTTTTTTTAGACCAAAATATATGAAAAGAAAAAAGGATGAGACGGGGGTAAGAGAGAGAAGGGAAAGTACAGCCAACACTAATAGATTCCTGAAGGGTCATCTTTGATATGCTGCCTTCAGCTGGAGTCGTCAGCATCGTAACTCAGTCAAACGCTGTTTTTAAGCCTTTCAAGCCGACATGAAGGCAGATTTTAGCCCCTCTGTTGTTATAAAGGCATTTTGTTCAACACGGTAACACTAAGGGGTTTAGGAATACACATCTTTATTAGTTGTTTGGTTTGTTTTTCTTTTAAATTTTCATACAGTGTGGGCGCTTATAAGGTTTTTTGTTTTTTAATCTCAAGCATTTTTACATGATGTACCTATTCCTTTAGTAACATCCGCTTTTGTGGCATTTTTTTATATTAATCTCCCATCTTGATGTCTTTTTGTTCTTAAATATTTCCCTGTAATTGAATTTTACTTTTTTAGACATACATTTAAAAAAAATAAATTAACGTTTGCTTTCCACACGGCTTGGTTATTTCTTTGCATTTTTATTTTCACCTTTCACCTTTTTCACTTCTGTCTTTCACTTTTTTTCTGACACTTGACATTTTTCTTTTAAAGTTTTCCTCCCTTATGTTCTTTCGTTTACTCTCTGACCTTCATGTTTCTGGCATTTTTGTTAAGTTTGCATACAGAGTAATACAAAAAACCTAAAAACATTTTCAAAAATAAAGGCATTATAACAAAAGCCAGCATTGAAATAATATGTAAGGCACAAAATACATGTTTTTTTTTAAACTCTTTCTCACAAAACCTTTCGCAAATAGTACATAAAAGTGCTTCACAAAGATAGAGCATTAAAACAAAGGCATGAAAAGCTGAGTAAAAACACAGACTAATTAAATAATACAGACTATTAACACTGTTTCATTAGATCTTGAAGAAAAGCATGTTTGTATAAAAATTATTTTAGCTGCTGTTTAATTAGCCCAGACTCTCAAGTCAAAGTCAAAACAAAAGAAGCTATTTCAACAGAAAGAGTAGTCTTTATTTTGTATCTACCTTTTAGTGCCATGAGTTCCTTTTTCTTTGTTAATGTTGAGTTGGAGTATGAGGTTTTAATAATTTAGTGACACGGTATGAACTTCAGCATGAAGGATCCTGAAATTTTAAGTCAGGATTTGTAAAATGATCCATTAAAAAAGGAGAAATTAGAGTCATTCTACTGACGTGTTGCTGCTGAATTTCAGACAAACTATATGGCACAAAGGAAATTTTTTATACATTTGAAAACGCATTACAGTATAATAATTAAGAGGAAAGGAAAAACATGGATTATCATTACCAGGGAGAGGAGTAAATCATGAAATGTGTTTTTGAACCATTGTATGACAAAAACACCAATAGTTTACCACACTTTTTCTTTAGTAATTAACCCCCCCCCCCCAAAAAAAAAAAAAAAAAACAAGAAACACAATAAATAAACTTGATTTCTGTTCAAAGTGTGCTGAGTTAAATGAATTTGCACAAAAAAAGAAAACCTGCTTTAATTCATTTTAACTTTGCATTCTGAGCTGGAAATTTTAGATCAAATGCATCTATTATATATGTCTGGCTGCATGAATCAGAGTCATCAAGGTGTTTTAAGATACCTTTTATGGTTTAATCTCTGCTTCTCTCTCTTGGTCCGATTTCCCCTCAGGTCCAGGGTCACATGCCTCCTCTGATGATCCCTCTGTTCCCTCACGACCAGCGCTCTCTGGCTGCTGCCGCCGCTGCACAGCAAGGCTTCCTCTTCCCACCCAGCATGTACAACAAGCCAGGTATATATTAATGACCTCCTAAATCTCCAATGTGAAACATACAGACACAGGAACTCCCTTGAATCAATAGTAATGACTTCTGTTGGGTGCAAAGTGATTTACAAACCTTGCATGTTCACTTCATGATCAATGCAAGGCAAGTTTATTTGTACAGCATAATTCAGTACATGCACAATTTAAAGTGCTTTACATGAAATAGATAATAAAGTAGAACAAAAATAAAAGCAGAATAAAAGCAAAAGCAAGATTTTGCACATTAACATTCCTATATACAGTATTTGCACTTGCGTATACAAATGCTGTCTTGCTTAGTTTGATTTCTGCTTTTCAGGTGATAAGTTAAAACCACAAACATCTGTATGTTTTAAATCGTTTGATGTTATAGCATTGAGAAAAAAGATTTGACAATATTTTCTAAATAATTTTTTCTTTACTCTTTTGTCATCAGATGCAGAAGTCTTACTAAACATTTCCTGAACATAACAAAATAAACCTGATTTAAGTGATACTAGGGACGCTAAACCTACCCTGTAAATTTCGGAAAATTATTGGTAAAATATGCATTTAGTCATTAAACTGCATTAAACATGTGCTGATTGGCACCTGATTTCATGAGTATATTGTGCATTAATCAGCTATTGAGCCTGCTCTGGGACCCAATCTCCTCTGCGCTCTGGAGCAGCAGGGAGCTGCTCGCCAGTCTCTATGAGAAATCCCTATTAAGGTTTGAGCCTCTGTCCATTGAAGTAACGAGCAAGAAAGCAGAGCCCTGCTTTTAAAACACACCAAAATAATATATATGTGTTTGTGTGTGTGTAAAGTCTGGATTGATCAATCTATAAATGAGGTCATGCCTAAAATATATATCTCAAACCTTTTTAATAGTCAGTGAAATAATTACCAAAATGTTATTATTTATTTATTAAGGATTAAAAAAAATATTTAAATATTTAATGCATGCATCCCAAGTAACACTGACATTTTAACATTTACATATAGGCATTTTGCCACTTTTTGGTCTGTTAAATATTTGGTAGTTTTAGCTCTCCATACCTTAGAAGGAATGGCAGGTGGAGGTACTTCCCTAATACTGCAGTGGATGATCAGAAGACAGTGATAATAGTGATAGTAATATTCTATGTAACTTAGGGATTAAGCAATATTGTTTAGGAAAAAAAACAAAAAAACTCTTCGGCATACATGGAAAGGGCTGATTTAGCCACCCCTCTCTATGCTGGGCCCAGCTGACCCGCTCGTCCCCCCCCATCAGCAGGCTTTTTTCTTTTTAATTTTCTTTTTAATGTCCAGCAATGTGTTAGAGATTCTGTTTGATATGAAATTCTACTCTTGAAAAGAACAACAATTAGCCTGAGGATGAGCTGCAACTAGGACGAAAACAGTAGTCTTAAAAGGCAGGATTTATTGAAATGTAGCCAAACATAGGCAGTTTACTTTCTCAGGTAGGTTCTACCTTCAAAGTGATAAAAGTTGACATGAACCACAGAAACGGGCTCACAGTAGAGTAGGAGAGAATCTACGGAGCATGGACTGATGGTGGTGATATACTGGAGCCTCGTGATATTGAATCTGCACCCATAGAACCTTAAAATGTGATTGGAAAGCTGTTTACATGCATGTGTTTAAACAAAACTGCTCGTACAAGTATTTATGATGCATGTGCACTTTATGCAGAATTCTGACTTCCTATTTGCATACATGCAATTCAACCTGGAGAGACTCACACACAGAAAAGTTACAATTAGAAAATATTGAATTTATTTATACAGGTATCACAATAATATTCTTTAAAATATTTCTATCTAAGGAAAAACAGCTGATTGCGAGGACTCATTGAATCTCTGTAATCTCTCACACTGAGCACACATGTAGCGACTGTGGAGAGGAAAACTCCCTTTAAACAGAGAGAAACCTCCAGTAGAACCAAGCTCAGTGCGAGCGGCTATCTGCCGAGGCCGACTGGGGTTCAAAGAGACAGAAGCACATGAAGACATAAACAAAATAACTTTAATGAGATGTTGATGCTGCAAATGCACATACACATGGATGAGGAACCTAGAATAGGATTAGAGTAATCTCTCCCCAGGGCCCAGACACTGGTGGTGGAATAAGCCAGAGGATGAGTGGGACTGAGAATGAGGGTGGAGATGGGTGAGAAAAGCTGGGCCAAGAGCTAAATTGGGATCTTGCAAGATGATTGACCATCCATGTTGGTGCAGAGGTTAACAGGGAGCTACAGACAAGGCCTATATAAGGAAGAATCGGTGGCAAGATTCAAATTGAGATGCACTAGATCAGGCATGCCCTTAGTCAGTCCTTGAGGGCCGCTGTCCTGCAGGTTTTAGAGGTTTTCTCCTCTAGCATAACTGATTTTCATTGATAGCGAAATAAAAAGCTTTTGCTGAACTACAATCATCACAATCAGCTGTGCTGAGGCAGAGAAACCTCTAAAACCTGCAGGACAGCTCCCCCAAGGACCAACTTTGGGCATTCCTACTCTGAAGTTATTATTAAGCCAGTTATGAACTTTCTTTCTGCTTCACATTAAAGTCTCTGTGATGCAAACAGAATCCTATTAAATGACATTGTTTTTAGGGGAACATGGCAAAAACATAGAATTTAAAATAATATTGTGAACATTCTTTAATCTATGTAAGAAACACAAGCAGCAAGTTAAGAAGTTCCTATTTTTCCTCAAAGGACCTCAGCAACTTCTTTTCAGTGCCGCACCTTCACCCAAAGTAACGCATGATATGCAGTCTTGTTTTTGCAGGATTCTATGCACCACCTGCTTTCTTTGCATCCTCCTAGTCCTTCACATTCCTCTCAGTACATTCCTCCAGGTGATCTCCTGACACAGGTTTGCACCAAGCCTCCATAGTTCATACCAAACAATCTCCGTTTAGTTCTACTTGTCAGGCACATGCTCCCACAAGGCTGCAAACAGAATGGAAAAGCAAATAAAGGAGTTAAAAAGCCGCTGTTGTGCACTCTCTTTTTGTTTCGATCTGTTTCCTACAAAGACCTGGACATGAAAAGCCTTTTAAGGACAAACAGTAGGGGTCATACATGGCACTCGCTTATGAGTTGGTGAGTGCATCCCATTGAGCGAGCCTGGTTTAAAGCACTTATGTGTGCAGACAGTGAGTCTTAATAACCTCTGAATAAAGCGTTCTTGACCCTTCGTGTTTATGTATAAAAACATGTGCTGGGAAAGGGGAAGTAGACAAAAGCAGAGAAGGATGAGACAGGGACAGACTGAAGGTAAAGTGCAGGCTTGTTCTTGAGCCCAAGTTTCCCCCCATGTCTCTTCTGTAAAATGCATTGTTTGTGGTTATTCACCAGGTGAGAATTACCCAATGCAGTTCATTCCATCAACAATGGCAGCCGCCGCAGCATCTGGACTCAGCCCGCTACAACTGCAGGTAAGAGGACGACGCCTTGACAATTTCATTGTACAGAAACCTGACTGCATGGTCAATGCAAAGCGCTTTGAAATACAGATTGATTCATTTCTTTACATCTTGATAAAGCAGGCTTTCAAGTAAACTTCCACAAAGAGAGAGCTTAACAATGAAGTGGTAAAAGATAAGAATGTGGAGGCGGGTGAGTGAGTGAGATACAGTTGAATTAACACAAAAAGCTTTCTAGCTCAAGGAAAAGTTTCAGTCAAACCTGTCTGAGAGCAGAAACAATCAAAGATCGTCTTAAATGGCGAGACAGACACATTGCTCTGATGACATATGATATTAAGGCAAATGAAAAGGGCTGGATGGATGAGGAGATGATGAAAGCGTGGCTGAGGCAGGTGTATGTGAGGAGACCAAGTGTTTTTTTCCACGCATCACCATCGCTGTTAATCTGTGACTCCATGCGTGCCCATCTCACAGCTGATGTGAAAAACATGGTGAAACAAATAAACGCTGTGCTTGCTGTTATCTGGGAGGTCTGACAAAGGAACTTCAACCGCTCGACATCGGTGTGAACCGGCCGTTTAAAGTAAGGCTGCGAGCGGCGTGGGAGCGACTTGCAACAGTGTGCAAGCATTGTGCAACATGTTTTGGTTATGCTAACAGCAGCATGACCAACATGTCATGCTAACCCTGAAATCCCACATACTCCGCTCAGCCCCGCTGTGCCCCAGACCGCCTGCACAAAGCAAAGCCTACAGCCCCCACTGTGGCTCCCATCCGCTCCGCTCTTAGTTCCTTGGAGATCGATTTGTTTAGTATATTATAGTATATAACATTTTCCCAGGCAATGCTTTTAGGAATATTAATGAATTACATTGCCAAAAATTATCACTTTCACCCTCATATGAGTTGGAGTAACACCCCTTCATTAATTTATATGACATTGGCCCATCTTTTGCAAATATAATAGCCTAGAACGCTCTGGGAAGTCATTCTACAAGTGCTAGTAGTGTAAAGTAGTGGCCATTCAAATTTTACCCACATTCCTTGATGGGTCCTTGGCTGGTCCCCTAAGATTCCTTTTGTAAACATCAATCTTTGTACTAAAATATTCTTTCTGTCATGATTTGTGGATATTAGAATCTAAAGAGAAGTGCCTTCTACTGGTCAGACCCTAAATTCAGTGAAAGGTCGGAGTCAGAGTAAAGAAATATGCATGCCCAGGAGAAGGAGGGGGACCCTCCAGTGGCTGGAAGTTGGCTGCCATTTGGCTGGCGTTTGTCTGGGAAGGGCCATTTTGAATGGCTGCTACTGGATTTCTAGAAATTTTTGGCAGAAGCACATTTCTGAGGTCTGACACTGATGTTGGGCAACAAGACCTGGCAGCTTTTGCTCTAATTTATGCCTGAGATAAGTTGCGCAATTTCTTCTCCCACCTCTAAATATGCATTGGGAGACGAACGGTGATACATTGGCTAGAAAAGAGCGGCTACTGCAGTGCCTGAGGAGCCTTGCCAGCTCTTTGTCACATTTAAAACATTTCTGCTTGAATACTTGTTCCTGGGGTGAAGTGCTTTCCCACCAAGCACTGTAGTTAGACACCATGTATGCTTCCACACATATGTTTGCAGACACATATGTGCACAAGACTTTTATTACCAGTCAAAAAAGGATGATTTTAACTAGAGAAAATGCTGTAGAGTCCAGTGGTGGCTTACTTTACACCACTGCATCCAACACTTTGCTTTGCACCTGCTGCTTGTAAGGCTTGGACCCTTAAGTTACAAAGGTCCCCATTCCATGAAGCTCTTGGCACTATTTTAGTTATGATTCCTTCGTTTTGCTACAAAGTTGTTGCTTTGCAGCGGTTGGTTTCAAAAGCCTCCGTATTGTCTACATGCTCCACTGTAGTAGAAAGTAGCAAGACATTGTTTAATTTGACCTTGTGCACTCTTGGCAATCTATTGTTGTACCATCCTAAATTTTACTGTGGTCTTCATAGCATTTTTCCAGAAATATTTTTAGAAACAGTCTGCATTTTTACGTCCTGGATTTTATCTACATCTGGAAGGAGAGATAATATAGGATCAGAGACTTATTACTGAAATTAAGCTGGGGCAGAGCTTTGACAAACATTTGTAAATTGTTTTGAAAAGTTTCCTGTTCAGAGGGGCTAAGTTATTGTTGTATTATAGCGATCATAATTGATATATAGCATAATCTTTTTGTGAACGATGATGCCTTTATATGATACAGATTTTTGTGAACTTGTAAAAAAATATTATAACCTATTTGTTACACTCATAGTTGTTGCCCTATGCCTAATGTCCTATAGTGTGGGTATCTTATTTTTCATATCTAGAAATGCAATTATAAAAAACAAAGCAACAATTTCTGTAATTATTTTTATGTTTTCATGAATTTTTTCTGAAACCACTGATCTCAGAACAGTTTTTCAAATCTAATTTCATGAATAGAAACGACAAGAAAAGAAGAAACTAAATGAAACCCAGACTCATGTTAACCTTGTCCTGAGGTGAAGAGAGCATAAAACCAAAAGCCTTGTGTTTTGTAGATCACTGAAAGCCTTTGTATTGCTTCAGGGACAGTTTTGTTAGCCAGGATGTGAAAAATACAGTAAATTAGCTATTACAACAGCAGGAGGATCTTGCATCTCAGAAAGTACAAAACATCAACTTTTTATATGAAAACAATTCAATCTAGTGGTGAGAAATAACCATTTTTTTGTAACCACAATTGACTTTAGCAAAAATCTCAAAACCCCTGCTTTGATTACATTGTACACATTCCCTTTGCTAGTTATGTCAGACCTTCTCTATCATCACTTTACAAGATTTGAGCATACAGTATATTGTATATACACATGTAAAACCTCTGTAGAACTTTTGTTTAGCACAGGAAACAGAGACTGAAGATGCAATTCAGTTCAGTTTATTCAAATAACAACAATTCACCATAAACGTCATCTCAAGGCAGTTGCATCAGATAATAGTCAGATTGAAAGTTTTCTGTGCTGTTTCTGTCTAAGAAAAAACAGGTGATTACATCCAGTCCTCCTAACTTCAGATTCATTCTTCCTGGATAAGCATTTGGCGACAGTAGATATGTTCTTGCAGTGGAGAGGGAAAATTGTTTTTTAAAAGTAGGGAATGGCCTTCTGCCGAGGCTGAATTGGGATTTGAGAAGACATTAGCAGACACACAAAAGGAACTTTCAGCGTTAGAAAGGGTATCGTAAGCTAACTCCACAGGTGGATCTGTCTATAAAAGAAACACATGAGCAGATGAGCTTTGAGCCAGTTTTTCTGTCAATTAGATAAAAGAGAGCACATACAGAGTAAACACTGAGCCCATAGTCATGTCCAGGATAGAGAAAAGGACTAAGCACTGTAAAACAGACCCAACTATAATCAGAGGTGTTAGTGTCAGTAGTCCAGCTGATAATTCCACAGCCAATCACAACTACTATAATTAGAAAAGGGCAGAGAGAACATAGAGATAGGGTTTAAAGTAACAAATACTGCAGAATTAGAGTACAGTGATAGAATGAAGCAGAATGATGAAAAGTGGTCCCTATGTCCTCAAGCAGCCAAAGTCTATAGCAGTTAAATCTAACACGGAAAGAAAAAGACCATTAGAATAATTTTATTGAGACAATTTCTTTAGTCTTTTACACTCAGAACTCGACAGGACACATAGCACTACATTTTGATTGATATGCATGAAAAGGAGTAAAGAACAGGGAACTGGGATTCTCACACAATCCAGTGGACTGCGTGAGCTGATACTTGTGCTTCACTCAAGGACCTGGAGGATGGAAGTTCAGCTTGGATAACACAGGTTGAGAAAACCTGTCCATGATGAGCAAGCATGAAGCGACAGTGAAGAGGAAAAACTCCCCACTGGGAAGAAACCTCTGGCAGAACCAGGCTCAACATGGCGAGCTTCTGCTGGACCACTTGAAATGAGACAGGGAACGCAGTAAGAGTCTGGGAGAAAATAAACTCAGATAAAGCTTTAGCTACAACGATGGAGGAGTGGCTGGAGATGGGTTGAAACAGGGTCATCTGAATTGAAGGCAGACATAACGCAACCACTGCCTGTGCTTTGGGTAGCAGACGGAGTTGTGGATTTGAGACCTTCTAAGATGAACACTGAGGCTGACTGGGGTTTCATGGTGGTGTGGTTCAAAGCTGATTAGCTGGTTTTTGAGGCGGATGAAGGCGAGTTATCGGTTTATTCAGTTGAACTTCTGCCTAGGCTCCATAATAACTACAGAGATGGCTCAGATTGAGGAAGAAGGTTGTTTTTATTGGCTTTAGAACTATTTTTATGATTTTTGTCCATTTGTTATGTGCTGTTAGTCTACTAAAAGACTTGATGATGACCCATTTTCTCTCTTCTAATATAAAATCCACTGGACCCGTCAAACATAATGTTGTTTTAAAGAGTTCATGATACTATGCCCTCTTGCAACACTGGAGTGAAATAGCCTCATATCATAACAAATCCTCCACCATAAAACAGTGGGACTTAGGATATTTAAATTTTTTCTAATGTATTTATTTACAAGGATTATTCATAGTAACAACAGCATTACAGTAGTAAAGTGGCATCCTCTTTAGGTCCGTAACTATAGCTGTCCCCTGTATTCCCTGTTCCCCTGCATTAACAATAAATTTAATTTTGGACTCATCTCATCAAATCCCTGAATTAAAGTTGAGGCTTTCTTAAAGCTCTAAATACACATGTTCATATAAATGTACTCTTTTTTTTCTACAGTTAAATAATACGATTTGGTGAATATATTGAGTTTGCTCAATACATCTCCCCTGTATCTTCACCAAGAGTGTCTGTAAATTTGTCTGCAACTGCCTTTCAGGCTCAATAAGAACATAATTACATCTACTGGGGAGCGTGACACTAAAAGGCCAAGGCTATTGTTCAACTCAAGAGCTTCGCAGAGTTTACATACAAAGAGCTTGTAGAAGC